GATGCATAAGATACAGTCACTGAACATGAGTCCCTGTGGGACAGCATCCAGTAGAACCTGTAAGTTCTCTGCACTTCTATGGGTCTCACCTCTGGCTTGTGGGTAGCCCTGGGCAGAACTCCTGCTCTGCCAGGACCTGGGGCTACAATACCACCTACTTTGGTAAAGTGCCTTGGGGAAAAACACTGACAGTAGAAGGCAACAGGCATAAAAAGAATGGGAGACACTTGTATAGAACCCATTCCTCCAGAGCTGAGGAGGGGACACGCAGAGTGGTAGGGCAGGCACAAAGGACACAGGACACAGCTCAAGGGACAGGATGTGAGCCCAAATGAGTCACCACGTGGCACACCATGATGAGGACCTGATGCGTGAAAACAAAATGCAAAACACTGGGAGTAGGAAACTAAACAATGAAGGTGATTAAAATGAAATTTTATTTCGTATGCAACAACAAAAGCGTTCTGTACAGAAAATAACTAAATGAAGCTTTCAAATAAAAAGTGATGTTTCGCAATAAAAAAAAAGAGTATGAGTATGTCACTTTTCAGCAGCTTTAACAGCCCGCACGTAAATGAAATGAAATTTGGAAGATTTTAAAAAAAAAAAAAAAAAAAAGAGGTAAATCAGAGCGATAACAACGAATGAATCCTCTGCCACTCCACACGTCCCTAAGGGAGGAGCATGGGGGAAGGGGGAACTACGCCACGCTCCCACCCCGGGCGGCGGAGCTCCCTCACGGTGCCCCCGCCCCGGGCTCACCCCGGGCAGCGGGACCGGGGCGGGGAGGGACGGGGGGGAGCGACGGCGAGGAGCGGCCTCTTACCGTCGGGCGGCGCGGGCGCTGCGTGCGGCGCGGCCCCGGGCTCCTGCCGGCCGCCGCCCCGGGGCAGGAATGTCCGCGGCAGGAGGAGGGAGAGGCAGAGCACCAGGCAGGACACGGCGGCCACCCGGCAGCACGTCCAGCCCGCCATGGCCGCGCCGGCCGCCCGAGGCCTCTGCGCAGGCGCGCGCAGGCGCGCGGCGGGGGCCTGAGGGGGGCCCGGGGCGGCGGGAGGGGAAGGGGTTGGGACAAGGAGGGTGAGGGTGTTGGAATGTGAGGGTGTTGGGATGTGAGGGTCTTGGGATAACGAGGTGAAGGTGTTGGGATGTGAGGGTCTTGGGATGTGAGGGTGTTGGGATAACGAGATGAAGGTGTTGGGGTCCTGAGATGAAGGGATGAAGGTGTTGGGATGCTGGGATGAAGGTGTTGGGATCCTGGGATGAAGGTGTTGGGATCCTGGGATGAAGGTGTTGGGATCCTGGGCCAAAGGTGTTGGGATGCTGGGATGAAGGTGTTGGGGTTCAAGGATGAAGGTGTTGGGATGCCGGGATGAAAGTGTTGGGATCTCAAGGTAAAGGTGTTGGGATCCCTGGGTCTGGTCTGGTTTGCGTCCTTGTGGAAATGCCCCGAACCTCAGAAGAGCAGAAGAGGGTGGAGAGGGCACAGGACAAGGGAGAATGGCTTCAAACTGGAAGAGAGTAGGTTTAGATTAGATATTGGGAAAAAATTCTTCGCTGTGGGGGTGATGAGACACTGGAACAGGTTGCCCAGTGAAGCTGTGGATACCTCCACCCTGGAAGTGTTCAAGGCTAGGTTGGATGGGGTTCTGAGCAACCTGGTCTAAGGAAAGGTGTCCCTGCCCATGGCAGGGGGGTTGCAACTAGACAGTCTTTAAGGTTCCTTCCAACTCAAACCGTTCCATGATTCTATGAATTTTCCTGACCTCCCATAAGTGTTTCCCAGGCTCTCACCCACTCCTTGCCTGTAGCACTGCAAACCTACTGGGGGAAAAGAAAAAAAAATCTACACTGCACCCTTTCTTTCACTGCTGTGCAGGATCCCAGCTGGTCTCTGCTGCTGGCAGTGATGGCAGGACGGGGCAGGTGGGCACAGGGTGCCCAAAGCTCTGTGTGTCCTGCTGTGCCAGGAGCTGATGGCAGCAGCAGCAGCATTTTGGTCCCTGCAGCTCCCCTTGGCCTGGGAAGGGGCCAGGACCTTTCCTGTGGCAGGACTGCTGGTGGGGGCGCAGCTGGGCTTGCAGGGGCAGGAAAGCTTCTTGGCTAAAGGCACTGGTTTGAGGCCATGGCTCACCTGGATTCTCCATGTGGATTTGTTTCCCTCCTTTGAGCACACAGGAAAAGTGTAAAAAAATACAGACCATACTTAATTCAGTTTACTGCAACTAAGACATTTAAAAATTATAAATGTGCACATATTTTCAAAAGAGAGCTTGAAATATGCATATTTCAGTGCGTTTCTTTGGGTTGCTGCTGTGCAAAGTCATCCTGAAATGTCCTTCCGAGTACACTAACGCTAAAAGATCGAAGAGGGAAGTTCAGTGTTTGCACTCGTGCATTTTCACCGACTTAAGCAAAATACTGCCAGTCATGTCAAATTAAATTATATGGTTTTGTATTTCCATTATATTTATATTACACTGTATTACTGTAGTTGAATTAGACTATTTTCCATGGGGTCTGGGCTGTGACTACTGAATTTAACTCACTTTACGCAAGAGCTACCCTTAATTAGACTTGAGCTGAGAGCAGAATTGCTTTGACTAACGCTGCAGACCGCTACGGCAGCAGAATACCACAGGCTCTTAAATTGCTTCAAAAAAGATATCCACTGACTGAACAGCTGGAACCGGGTGGACAATTCCAGAAGTCATTCTTACTGAGCACCTCAGCCCTGGGGAGGTGGCAGCCCCTGGCCAGGCCCCACCAGCCCTTACAAACTTACTCGGCTGGGGTATCCCCTTCCACAGCTCCTTCACCCACCGCTCAGTTACCAGGTCTCAGGCTCCTCACAGTAGGCTTTCTGGGAGTCCCCACTCTGTCCCTGGAAATAAGAATTGTGGGAGCTGTTGTTTTAGTGTCTGTCACTTTCCTAAGCTTGTCAGCAGCTTTTGATGCCTCCACAGGCCAAGTTAACAGGCAGGGGCATCAAAAGGAGTGTCACCTTGATCAGAAATGTGTCATCAGTTCACTAATGACAAATAATTCCCTTTGTCTGCCATGGATAATATGTTGTTGTTCTCTGGCAGTGGATGTGCTACCACAAGCAGCAACTTTTTTCTCTTCATTGAGGAGAAAAAGCTTTTTAGCATCATACAGTGGTGAGACACTGCAGTTGCTTAGGACCATCACCTTCAGCATCTAATGATGCTGAAGTTGCCCAAAGCATCAGTCCTTAAGCCAAAAGGAAAACAACTTTCTATGACCACAAGGAGAACACCACCGACCTGGCACAGCACTCCTGGAATCACTTCTCTTTCCCTTGTAACTCTTGGGATGTGCAGGAAGGACACAGCAGCTGGGAGAGCAGCTGGTGCTCTCCCTCCTGAGCCTTTCTAGACATGAGGGTGGTTTCACCATTCCAAGTGTCATCAAGCCAGTTGATCCTTGGGGGCTTCCTTGCTGATTATGTTTAGATAAAGCAGATTGCCTTTCCACTCTTATCTTGTTCCTAGGAAGGTCACTGGAAGAAAAAATTAAATGCTTACAGCAGTTTTCTCAATGCTTTTTCCCCACATCATTCAAAGCCAAGAGGAATGGGGAGACTGATGCTGTACGTTACCATTTCATGTGGAATCATCAGCTTTCTGATCCCAATGTGGTACTTGGTCCACGGCCACTCAAAAAGCCTAGAGCAGCTCAAAGCCAAAGCAAGGAACTTGATACTGGATTATACATAGAGACTGCATAGATTCAACCATCAAGAGCTATGTTGAAAAAAAATAAAAAGGAAGACTTGATAAAACCCTTTTTTTTTTTTTCTACAGTCAAATACAGAATTCCTGCAGGGTTCTTGGACTTCACTATAAGGACATATCCAGTCCTTCATCTGAGGAAGTCACAGGTGAAATTCTTCTAGTTCAGCTTGCTGTAGAACCCAGTTCTAGTTCTAGTCACACAAAACAATGTTGAGAACAGCATCATAACAGAGAAGATCAAGAGAATGTTTTAGATGATTATACCTTCTGGGAAGGGAAAATACCATTAGTATATTCTGATCTGAATATGTGCTTTTCAGACCATATCCTGAGTACCACGAACACCCTGATTGCTCACATGGGCATCAGAAAAGTCAGCCTCGTCAAGTGGGTTTCGCTGTATTTAGATTTGTTTGACTTGTGTTTGCCATTATGTGGAAAGAGATGTTTCCACAGAACAGTGTTCTTGTAAGCGCTAAATGTCTTCTTTGACTTATGTTTCCAAACTGATATAAGTACAGCCTTTATAATATTCAGAAATAACTCTTAAATAGCAAAACTCCCTCCAGCTGGTGTAATAGATATTCAGCAGGTATCAGTAAAAATCTCTAACAAATTATTTATTTTGAACTTCTGAAAGGCAACATTGGAAACTAATTTAATTTTATTCCTATTTATTTAACCCTTGTCTTCCTACCACTTACCTGTCTTTCTGCTATCCCATGCTTGCCAACTTTCCCAGTTTCTCCTTATTATGGGACAAAGTTTAATAGGCAATTTATCCAGTATGAATCAGAAGTTTTGGGGTTTTTTTTCCCCTTGTTTTTATGCTTTTTCCCTAAGGATGTTCTTGGGCTAATTTATTTTGCAAGAAAGCTTGAAACCCAGCAAAGGACAGAGTGAGTTGTACACATTCATGCAGCTATCCACACTGGCACTGTGAGCATCGAAACAACCAAATGCAAAAGCATTTGCAACTTATTTTAACTCTTTCCTTTCGTAAGGGAAGGGGCATCTTCAGAAGCTAGAACCTTTCTCACAGGTATAGGTCAGGATCTGCTTGGGCCACAGTCTATGGCCTAAGGAATACTAAACTCTGGATTATGTACAGCAATATTCAACAGTTCTGAAAACCAGGAAAGGCGTGAATACTCAAGAATGATTGCTGATAACTCAGTGAGGAGAAAATTAATGTGGAAGAACTTGAATGAATCATTTTAAGCCTGACTTTTTTTTTCTTTTGTCTGCTCATTCTTGATTGGCCACATATAAATTGCTATAAAAATGAACAATCTTTGATATAAATGTAAATCGGGAAGAAATTTCTTAACTTAATCAAGCTAACCATTGACACAAGAGCCTCCTCATATATCTAAGTCTTGTCAGAAGCAGTGCTACCACAGCTTCTCTCACCTGACTGAGGGGGTGTTTGTGTGCATGCTGCAAGCATACTTCTCACTGCAGAGTATCTGAGTAGCAAAGGACCAAATGCTGCTGCAGTAGGTCGATGCAAACACCAGTACGAAGCCTGAGAGCTTTTTTATGAGGAAGAATGTAATTCCCTGGTAATTCCCAAATCTGTTGATTAGCTGCAGAGCAGGCAAAAATCACTGGCTGGGCTGCACCAGCAGAGTTCTCTGGGAAGGTCTCTGTGGTGTGTTGTGCTCTCTGTTCTGCAGTGAGGATTTTGTGCACAGCACAAGGGCTGGCACAGCTTCCGCCCTTGCCGAGTGCTGAGCCGGTGCTGTACCTAAGAAACAAAAATGGGTCACATCCTCTGTGCCTTCTGTGGGTAGCCTGGAACATGGATGTGGTTTCTTGTCTTCTTTCTTGCCAAACCTGTTTGGCATATCTTCAAGTCTTCTCCTTGCTGAGAGCTGGAGGATTTGCCCCTAAATGAGTGGTGTTGACTAGAGGCTGCCTGCATGTTTTCCAGCTCCATGGTGAGTTGTTCAGGTAACATCAGGTAGCAGATGGGATCGCTTACACAATGAGATCAGGAACACATTAAAGGGGATGGCTTAACTATGGACAAGGTGATGCCTTGCAGGGGAAAGACCCTTTCTCTGCATCTTTCTTGGTGTCATTGATCAGCAGAAAGAAAGTTCAGAGGAATTCTGTGGGCCTTCTGTCACCAAAAAAAATAAATAAGGGAAGTAGTATTCTGCTCCAATTAATTAAACAAACTGATATAAATTCCGTGCTTAAATCGTACT